TCCTGTCCAGAGAGACCTTCTAGCACCAACCCCTCCATGGCGTCTGACCTACTTTCTGTCTATCCCGGGAGCCCCTGGCCTTGTTTCTGGCGACAGCCCCCTGCAGATCTTCCCAGGCGTCCTCCCCATGCCATCAGACACACGATTTGACATCGGGATGCTGCTGGGTGGGGCGGGAAGACACCTGCCCCAGCGGCACACTGGCTGCCAGGAATATTGCCCTCTACCACCCCCCACCCCCACCTCCTGCCCTCCACTCTGGAGGAGAGCTTTCCAACGGCTGCCCATCAGGGCTGACTGCCTAGAAACAATGCCCTGGGCCCAAAAAGGCCCACGCATTTGTATGGTAAGCTGGTGATTTGCAAAATGGCACACATGACCCAGATGATAATCTGGGCATGAGTTATCTACCCCACTTGCCAGATGGAAAGACTGAGGCCAAACCCACGAAACTAGCCTGACTTGCTCAAGCTACACAGAAGGCCATTAGGCGGGTGGGTGCTCCTGCGTCACACTGGTGTGGGGGAGTCTGAAGTGTGAGAACAGCAGCCCGCATAGCTGTAGCCTCACCCTCAGTGGGCACTGCCCCGGGCCCTCTGGCGAGGCCAGTCTGTTCCACCCTCCAGGGCAGGCAGGACTGTCCTGCTTGACCTGCTCATGCAGGAAGATAGTGCTACCCACCTGAGAAAGCCGGAGCCCCGCTGGGGTGGAGGGTGGCCTTCAGGACGCAGTGGCCAGGGGGTGGGTCTGGGCTGGGAGGGCCAGTGCAGTGGGACTGCTGAAAATAATGCCAAAGGTGGCCAGGGATCAGGGCTGCTCGAACACCCGGGAGCCGTGGGGAGCACCACACCCAGGGGAGGGCCTCTGAGGCCATTTTCGGGTTTGGTCTGGACCCTGTGGGCTCCCAGGCACATCAGGGTAACTGCCTTGGTTGGACCCTGGCAGGATACCTGTCACTGCTTAGCGCTGGCTTATTCAGTCCTTATTCTGAGATGAGGGAACAGTCCAGTGAGGTCAGGGTGCTGCGGTGGCGAGGGGTGGGCCTGGGAATGAAACGCAGGGCTGTGGGCTCAGAAGCAGCCCTGCATGGCCTGGCCACCTTGTGGGCAACGTTCTGGGTTTGCTCCCCTGTCAGGGGGCCAGAAGAGGGCCAGTCTTCCTTTTGTGAGGGGCCGGTTTAGTCGCAGACAGCTCCTGTTGGGTAAACTCGGGGGCACCTCAGGGTGGAAGGGAGACTTCCCTCTGAACCCCTGCAGCTGGAGGAAGCGGGACAGCTGGGCGGGTCAGAGGGTGCAGGCCGCTGGCCTTGGAGGCAGGGGAGCTAAGGCGCAAGCAGGGCGGGCTTTGGGAGAGCACCTGCCAAGTCCACCCTTGTGAGAGCCTGCCTCCCCAGGTCTGCAGTACGGTGTCCACTTCTGATTGAAGCAGTGTGGCTTTGACTGCTGTTAGGGGGAGGGAACTGCTAAATGTCCAGCCTCAAGGGCTTGGGGAGCCCCCACCCGGTGACACCTGTGACGCATCCTGGAGCTGGGCTGAGAGACCTTTGCACTCCCTGGTCTGGTGGAGTTGGGAGTTGCCATGGGAAAGACCTGATCTGTGCCAGGGCTCCCGGGACCCAGCGGAGGCGGTTACTGCACAAGAAGGCTGTAAACTATGATTTTCAGGTCGGCAAGAGGAGGCCAGGGAGCTTACTTAGCATGTTTATTTGCCCTTTAATATCTGCGGTCTATAAAGGACAAGAAAGGAAAGGGCAAAGGCCCAGGAGTCAGGCGACCTGGTTCCGCCCGGGGTGGAGGAGGGGCACCGGTAACTTCCCTTACCTAGGGGTGGGGTGCAGGTGGGTCTGGGGACGGGAGGGCAGGGATGGGCTGCATTTGGAGAAGAGGGAGAAAGCCTGCTCCAGACAAAGCCACAAAAATGCAAACAACATCCTCTGGAGGAGAGACGAACAAACAAACACAATCTGTGTTCAATCCAGAAGTTTTGCAACATAAACAGAGGATGTAGCACTGAGTCCAAAAACAAAACAAAATTAAAAAGAAGAAAAAGGGAAAAAAATCAGTGGAAACAACACGAATGGCAGGCTGATCTTGGAGATTTCCCACTGGGGAACCAAGACGAGCCACGCTGAGATTGCTGGGCAGCAGTGGGCGGCCAGAGGACACCGTCCCTGGGAGGTCAGGCGGGAAGGACTCCGAAGAAAATAAAGGACAAATGGAAAACTGTATCCTTCAACAGTCTGTGGACAGAAGCAGGAGAACCAGGGAACCAGAAGGTGATGGAACTCGACCTCAAGGCCTGGAGCTCTGCCCTGAGAATAGTGCTGACAGGGAAATCGGGCAACCTGGAGCAGCTCACTCCACCCCCTTTCCAGGTGGGCAAACTGCGGCCAGAGAGGGGCCGCAGCCTCTGAAGAAGCCATTTCTGCGACTCACGTTCACTGAGTCCCCCTGTGTGCCAGGTTAAACGAGGCTGACCCGGGGCCTTGGCTCTGAAAGCACCCAGCAGAGCGTCCAGCCGGGCCCAGAGTCAGGAGGGCCTCCTGGGAAAGGGTGTTGAACTGAGGGCTGGAAGGAGAACTGGGGGAGCACTGGAAGGGCAAGGAGAGCCCAGAGGCAATGATTAAAGTCCTACTAGAAGAAGGCTTTTCACGATTCACAGAACTCAAAGAGGACGCAGGGAACTCGCCAAGCCCAGCAGTGGCCACCGCCCCCTCTTTTAATTGATGCTCTGCTCTGCATCAGTGGGGACCCAGTTCATAGCATTCCTCAGAGGCAAAGCACATTGTCCCCATTTCTCAGATGAGGGACTTGAGGCTCAGAGGCCAGTTTGCTACTAGAGCAGAGGTTTTGGCCGTGCTTTTTCTGAGCCAAAGCAGACACACACACACACACACACACACACACACACACACACACACACTTTGTGTTTCTATAAGCAGACTCCCTGGTCAGCAACAGAGAGAGACATTGAGATCTTTTTGTTATGGAAACAACCCAGAATTCCTCAAACAACCAAACCAAAAGAGAAACAAGAACACCTTTAAGCCCCTCTGGTTGCTGTGATGTCCCAGGGTCCCCCAGAGCTGTGCCTATATGGTCTAGAGGGTGAGAGGAAGCTGTCCCCATGTGAGGGATTTGCTTGCCAGGCTGTCATTCGCAGGTGAAGGTGACAGGGGACTTTCCCAGGCAATCCAGGTTTAGGGAAGTTGACATCTTGCACCGTATCTTCGAAACTCCTAACAGGGAGCTGCTGTGGCCTGGGACCTGAGATTCACAATTGCATCTGGACATGTTAGAGGGACCACTAAAC